CCCCAAAACCCCAAAACCCCAAAACCCCAAAACCCCGGATAAGTTTGTAAAAATTGGATATCAGCAATTAATTAAATATTGTGAAAAATGGAGACAGATACTGATACCCACTATGCCTCAGTGAACACTGACATGACAAAGCCTTTATTAAAGACAGATAATAGCTTGAGAGAGCTCGGAGAGAATGAAGTTCTTGTAAAAATACACTCTGCTCCTATCAATCCAAGTGATACTTATAATGCAAGAGGAGTTTATGGTATGCTTGGGGGAAGTACTGATGGGCACGGTATTGGATTTGACGGTGCTGGAGAAGTCCTCAAAGTTGGAAAAGGAGTTGATGAAGGGCTTGTAGGCAAGAGAGTTGCTGTAGGTCAGCTTCCTTTTACTCCTGGTTATGAAGGATCTTGGAGACAGTATCTAATTACTTTGAAAGACAATTTGATGATCTATCCTGATGATGCTGACTTTGATAAGATATGTAGCAGCTTTGTTAATCCTATTACTGTATGTACATTCTTGCACCACATTGAGAAGAATAAGTATAAGGCAATTATTCAAACTGCTGCATCATCCAGCTTGGGAAAAATGCTCCACAGACTTTGCCTTGACAAAGATGTTAAAATAATTAATATTGTAAGGAAAGATGAGCAAGTTAAAGCTCTAGAAGATCTTGGCTCAACTCATACTGTAAACTCAAACAGTGAAACTTTCAAGGAGGATCTTGCAAAGGCTATTGAAGAGCTGCAGCCAACAGCCTTGTTCGACCCTGTAGGTGGAGAACTTTCAAAAACTATCCTAATGTCAATGCCTACATTCTCAACTCTTTATATCTACGGTAGTTTAGATACAACAGGAACCTTTACTTATAACAACAGAGAGTTGTTGTCCAAAAGAGCTACCCTGATGACTGTATTTGCCACAGACCTTGCCAAATTCTGTACTCCAGAGGAGCTTCAGTCTTACTATGAACTGGTCTCCAAAGATATTTATGAAGGTGGAAAGATCTTTGGGACTGAAGTAGTATCCACTCATCCTCTATCTGACTTCGAGAAGGCTATTGCTGAAAGAGAAGCAAGTGCTAGCCAAGGAAAGATCATTCTAAAACCATGGGAATAAATCACTAAATATCTTTTCTTGGTTTAAGTAGTAGATTTCAATCCATTTAAGAATATTCGGGGTTTTGGGGTTTTGGGGTTTTGGGGTTTTGGGG